CAAAAGAGAGTTCCAGAGATCTCTTACATGTTGGAGAAAACATGTTGGAGAAAGGGGGGAAAATTCTAACAGAGGAGGTAGATCGCGAACAGGAAAGAGAGGACAGTCAAAGAGCAGGAATGACATCACATGTTGGAATTGCAAAGAAAAGGGACACTTCAGAAATCAGTGCCCACATCCCTCAGACAAAGACAAGAAGAATATGAGCGTGGCAGAAGATTATGAAGACGCACTTGTGTGTTGTGTAGACTGTCCGGTTGAATCCTGGATTACTCCTGGATTTCAGACACTATCGTGGTAAAGTCAGATTGGCATATAACAAACAGGATCCTAAATATTATGGGTATTGGGGATGTTTTCCTCAAGACATCTCTTGGTGCGAATTGGACATTGAAAAATGTCAGATATATTCCGGACTTGAAGAGAAAGTTAATATCAGTAGGGCAGTTAGACAATGAAGGCGATCACGTCGACTTTGGAGACCAGAAGTGGAAGGTGACTAAGGGAAACTTGGAAATTGCTCGAGGTCAGAGAAATGGATCATTGTACATGGTTGAGATTTCTGATAGAGCAGAAGCAACAGTTGAAGAGAAAGGGACGAGTATGAAGAAAAAATATTCTAGAGGCAAAAATCTGAAGAATGTGACCGTCAATTTTTCTGAGCCGTGTGTTTATGGCTGACAGAAAAGAGTTACTTTCGTGAAGGAGAAACAGCCAACCAAAGTTTGGAGAAAGAAGCAGGTTCCTACAAATGTGCACATCCATACCTCAAGTTGCAGTGACAGAAAAAGTTTGTATATCGACTCAGGTTCCTGCACGAAATCAACTGAGATTCCAGGTTGTAGATGGAGCAAAGAGAGTCGAGGTTCCAGCACGAAATCAGTTGAGATTTCAGGTTGTAGTGGGAGCAGGTCAAGGTGCAGAAAGAACTCGTGTACTGGTAGGAGTTCAGAAAGCTCTGAGAACTTGGTTGAAGACTCAATTTCGAGTGGGAGCTCAGGTGAGACTTCAGGAAGTAGTGGGAGTTTAGATGACAAAGAAGTTGAAGCTTTGGCTTCAACTGGCCTTCTAGTTGATTGAAGAGAAGACGCGAACTAGAGATGAAGAGAGAGAGATTGCAGAGAGTGACGGGGTTAAATGGTAAAGGACTGATCAGCCTCCAAGTGGGAGATTGTTGGGTGGTGGAGATCTGATCCACTCAAATGGTAAAGGACTGAGATTGGGGCCAAAGGTAGGTTACTTGAGGCCGAAGCTAGGTTACTTGGGGCCGAAGCAAGGTTGCTTGGGGCCAAAGAAAGCTCATTCTCTAGAATTCTCTTCCTATCTCTATATATAGATCATTAGTGAACCCTAAGTAGACATCACCAGAAAGTGTAATAGCATTTTCTCAGTAATAAAATCTCTCTAGTTCGCACAGTGGACTAGCCGGTCAGTTTGACCGGTGAACCACTTTAAATTCTTGTGTTCTTCTTTAGATTTTGCATCTTACAATCGTGTGTGTATTTGTCGAAGTCCTAATTCCTAACACCCTGTAGCGATTGGATCGCTTTCGTACCGCAATTGGGTACGGAACGATTGGTTCGCACTTCACAGATCATGGCTCTTTTAACGATCTATGTAACTATGTTTGGAACAGAGAGAAGTTCTAGCATAAAACATCACCACTATGTTATATCACTTATATGGCATGAGTTTACACTGTCAAATAACTTGAGACAATTAATTGACTTTATAAATTCAAGACACTGACCCTAAATTAGTTGGCATTACGGTGATGATGGCTAAGAAAACTAACTATTTACTATATATGATATATGTAGCCTAACCCTCCTCCCTTTCTTGTAGCCATACCCTTTACAAATTCTCAAATACTGAACTGAAATTAATAGGTCTCAGTGTCTCACTAAGTCACTAGTTATTCAAGAAACATGCACTTGGGCAAGAAAATTATGACGAGATAAAGATTACAGGGCCAACAACCTCGAATGCTGCTCCCTGTCCACCATTGCAAGCCAATTCTTGTTCCGCTTCTGAGACTATCATTAGTTTTCTTTCTTCAACTATCTTGCTCATTTCAGTAACTAAGGTTACATGCTTAGAAACATTGCCATGCATTTTTTTGTACTCTGGGTAGTTGTCTACAAATTTTACCATGTCCTCTGAAAAGTCGAAATCATTTGCAATGTAGGTAATGTTATAAAGCATGAACAAAAGCAACGATAAAAATTAATAGTTCTTCCATGTACATACCTATTGTCTGGATGTTCTGATTACTTTTTGAAACTTGTTGGAAAACGTCAACCATCTGTTTGATATTCATTCCTATGTCTCCAAAGTTTTCATGCATATTAGCTTTGAAAAAGCTATCTTGCTCTGATGACAGTACAACCTCCTAATATAAAGTGAAATTGAGAATAGCCAGATATATCAAGATTACCAAAGTGTGGAAACGAAAAGGCATGAAAAGTGTAAATTACATTGAACCTGTTGATCCTTGGGGAAATTGCCTATACTACTAAGGTCAACCTTATTGTCTTGGATGCCTATTAATTCATGAACCATGGCCTACGAAAACAATAACCACGATCGAGATGAATTCATTTAACTACCAATATCTACAAGAATACAATCATGCCAAGCCACTGGGCCAGGAAATGAAATACCTGATAGGTCCATTGATTAAGTAGTGGAGTAACAGGGTCATCCCTTCTATCAATTACTAGCAACAAGGGGGAAATTTCTGGCCGTCTGAATTCAAATAGGCTACTTTCCTGCTGATACATTAGCTTCTGCAAACCAAGGAGAGAAAAGTAGATCATTTTTTGTATCTTACTTGCAAATTCATTGAGCATCTTCCTAGGGCAACTCAGTCACCAAACTCATTTATCTAAGGCTCCAATCCCTTATCTGATCTATTTGGACTTTTCTAGGCTGGCTTGTAGAAAGAAGGAAACAGGGAGTTTAACTAAACCTAGATTCATTAAGGAACAAAATATTGTATCAAATGTGGAAAAGTGAAAGCCTAAATATCTCCAATATATAGAACTGGAAGTTAGCTAGCTCACCGCTGCTTCTTGAGCTATCCTTTTTGTAATATCAGATGTCCGTGAATATCGAATAACAGGCCTTTGTTTCAAAGAAAGAAAAAGAGCAGCAAGTCCATCAACCACTCTATCGCAAAAATGCTGCAGACCTGATGGATCTACAACTGCTGGAAGCATGTACATGTGATTTGATGCCATATTAAGAGTGAAATGATAGGGGTCAATTGCAACAAAGTCTGCGTAAAATTCCTATAAATCAAACAAATAACTGTTAAGGCACATACCATATCTATTTCTCAAACTAAAACAACAAATGGCAATAAAAATTGCAATGATTGCTCATGTAAGAATCCTTACGCAATACTTCTAGATAAAAAAAATCTGTCATCATCATCATTTTCATTTACCCCAATGCCACAAAGGCTCCCACCTACGGTGCGGTAAGGGGGGGTCGGATGTACGCAGTCTTACCCCTGTACTAAAGTAGGGAGAGACTGTTTCCGGATGACCCATAGTGAAAATCGCGTCCAAAATTGCATGGACTGACTGCTGCTTCATAACAAAGAAGCGTAGACAGTTTAGTGAGCCATTTTGCTTTATTCCATCATATTCTCAAGCCTACTTTCCAGATATAATTGTTGGTGTGATGAATACCATTAGAAAAAATGATAAAACATTTCCAACCCAAAGAGTCCTTCAAAGGGAATCTTAAAGTACCTGAAGCTGCTGCACCACTTCATTTTCATCAGAGTCAGCTAAAATATGAATCTGGGTATCTTTCATTATATTTGAGAAAACTGCAACAACAGTCAAGGGAAAAGATTTCTCTTCAAATGAACTTTATTTTAAAGTTTAACTCTTCATTCATATAACAATAACAGTGGAGACTGCTGATTGAAGTCCTGAATAGCACTTATTCAGGAAGTTTGTGCAGTTTCTGATGATAACAAAAATTAGTACTTTCTCAGCATATATTTAAACAAAATACTTCATGCACATGATACTTACATAGGTGATATTCTCCAAACCTAGGTTTAGAGAGCTGACGGCGCATGTGTTGGATATTCTCTGATGTCGGCCTCAGAAAATAGACTGCTTTAAGATGTGACATTGGTTCCTTGGACAGAGTAATAGACTCCACCAGTTCCACAAGAAACACTTCCTTCTTAAGAAGCTCAGTCTGACTATATACCACACTCACAATACTAACCTACAACAACTTAAAGAAAATTTAAAATCACTCCCCAAACTGACATTTCCAGTTTTCCACTAAATAAGAAGCAGCTTCGCATATTCCACTCCTACCCAAAAGTTCCCTATCACTAATAATAATAACATCAAGATACTAATCAAATAGTGCTTTTTCACACCCACAAATGCAAATCACGTCTCTCCACATGCTGTATCGCATTTTCAACTTATCAGTGATGGAAAAGAAACATTTCCTTCTTTTGGTCATTATAATCATATCTGCTTACAAAAAACTTATCCATCCAAGAAAACATAAAATCTCAGCGGTGTAAGAGGGGAAACGAATTCCAACAATTAAAATACCATGCGTCAATTTCAAGTTTCAGCTAATAAATTTTTAACATACTTGAGATCCAAATGACAAATAGAGCACAATTAACTCACCACATATATCTTTCATGAAACCAGTGAAAAGTTAGAAAATCGTCACTCACCGTGTGGGAGTCGAGAATGAGGACTTTCATTCCAGAAATGTCCTGTAGCATGCGATTGATGTAGTCTCGAACAGAAGAAACAACCACCATCCTATTGTTTCTAGTCGATGAAACGATGGAGATCGGAGAAATGACGAAAACAAATTGTTCAATCCGAAATTTGTTAACTTGCCGAGTAGTAAAAATAAAGCAGCAGTTATTTTACGTAGTACTCCGTATATTTTTATGGTCGTATTATCGTATATACTCCGTAGTTTGTTAGCTGTATGCCCAGCCTACAATAATGAATAATCCTACCTGGCAAAATGTACTGGATAATACCATTTCTACAGGTTTTTTATCACGTTTTTTTACAATCCAAATAACTTTATTAATAATTCAGAGTATGGATAATACAATCTGGTGGGTGCTCCATCCAAATACCGTCAGACCCAAAATAGGCTTCTTTATCAAGAATATGAGCAGCCCGATTCGCTGAGCGGTGCACATATTGTACACTTATATTGGTAAAAAATCAACCATCATGTCTCTAATATTTCTAAAAATAATATCATTATAGTGTATGTCATATTCTCGAGCAAGCCTCCGGACGATATGTTGGGCATCTGATTCCACAATAACCTTGTGTCATCCCCGTTCCAAAGCTCATTGAACAGCTTCCTCAATCGCCAATGCTTCCGTCGTTCCGGGTGTATATCGTCCCCACTTTCTCACGCTCTTTCCGGCTATGAATTCCCCTTTGTTATCTCGAGCAATAGATCCCAATCCTCTTGCATCTCCTTCGTTTGGAAATGCAGCATCAACATTGATCTTCACAAAGCCTAATTCCGGAGATTGCCATGTTGTGTTCTGCCTCGCCGATGCCTTCTCCTGCGGCATAGGAAGCTGAGCCGCCCTCCAGCCTTCCAACATGGACTCTCCATTGTTAATAACCCCTTTCCAATTTGGTGTTAAGTTCTTCCAGACCTTTCCATTTCGGGCTTTTCATAAACTCCAACACATCATCACAAAATTGACTGAATTCGTCCTTTGATCTGCTGCCTGCCACCACAGATGCCCAGGCTCCAAAGCTTTCGGCAGCAGCCTGCAAAAAATTCCCGCCCCTGCTGCGCCAAACAGCCCGTGCCAGAGTACAATCCCGAAGAATATGCAACGAGCTCTCCTCTTCATGTCCACAAATCAGACATTTCGGCCACATCGAAACCCGTCTTTGTATTAATCGCTGCTTGCTAGGTAAGCAATTCACACAAGCTTGCCAACAAAATATTTTAACTTTCGGTGGTATTTCAAGCTTTCACATACTCGTCCAGCCCACCGCCGGTTGAACATTTCGGTTGATACTTTTATAACAACTTCGAACAGAATACATTCCCTTCGTATCATCTGCCCAAATTAGTTCATCTTCCATCTATCCCGATCGTAAAGGAATACTAGCAATGAGGTTTCGGTATTCCTTTTGGAAAAGATCACCCAGTAAATCAAAATCTCAGCCCGTTCCATCGTTAAGCATGAGAGATTTGACATAGACATTTTCCAACCCCGCTATTTCGTTCCTTGCCGGCCTGCACCCTTCTGCATCATGGAGCCAATTATCATGCCACACTCTTGCCAAATTCTCATTGCCGATACGGAAACAAACCCCCTTCCTGACCGTCGGAATAGCCGTTACGATGCTATGTCACATGAGGGACGGACAGGGGCGGATCCAGGATTGAGAGGTGGGGTGGGCTAAACAGTAAAAAATAGTTTTCATATATACAAAGTTTTGCTCAGAGCAGTTATCGAATCAAGCTTTTTTGGAATTTTATTCTCAATCTCGAGCTTGATTTTGAATCTAATTTAATGACCCGAGTTAACAAGATTCGAACTCGAACACGGACTAGGTTTGAGTTTGAATAGTTATTCAAACCAAGTTCGAACATAGTGATGTTATAATTTTTTTAATAAATTATAGGAATAAATTTCTTAAAATCTTAATGTTATAATGCTATTTTATAAATATATTAACGATTAATAAAGATTTGGTATTTATTGAATAATTCGAACATGAATCTATTAACGGGTATAGTCTAAACCTCTACATTCGAGCATATTTATCAAGCGTTAAAATTTATCGAGTCAAAATCAAGCTCAATTTCGTACTCAATTTTAAAATCTATCGAGTATAGTAAATTTATTTTCCTTTCTTGACAATATGTTCATTATTATCCATTCTAAAAAGCATTTTCAATATTGGTATGAATCTAAATACTTCTATAAATTTATAAAACTTTTAAGAGAAAAAAATCGTTGTACATAGATTAATAAGTAATCTCAATTTCAAAATTCAATTGAAAATTTTAATTCTTTCTAGTTTCTACATGTCCACACAATTAATAAATCATTCTCTAACCTTCAATTGCATATTAAATAAATCATTCTCCAATCATTTGTAGGTTACACAAATGATCATTTGTACTCGTCCACGTTGGACTTACCCACCCTACGGTGTATTCATTCATTTTGGGCTTACACACCCAACATAACATCTTGATTCATTTAGGGCTTACACACCCCGTATAATCTTAGTTCGTGTAGGGCTTACACACCCCGCATAATACTTTACTCTTTTAGGGCTTACCCGCGTAATACTTTATTCGTTTAGGGCTTACACACCCCGTATAATACTTTATCCATGTAGGGCTTACACACCCCGCGTAGTATCCTTTATTCGTTAGGGCTTACACACCCCGCGTAATACTTTATTCGTGTAGGGCTTACACACTCCGCGTAATATTCTTTATCTCATTACGGCTTACACACCCCGCGTAATACTTTGTTCTTGTAGGGCTTACACACCCCGTATATAACCTCGTATACTCATTATATACGAACAATCATAATCTATCAACCTCGGGCTAGTCTTCATCAAGACTCCCCGGGCTGCCTTCATATAGTCTAGGTAGACTCTACCATTTCCTTTGAGTGTGACCGTAGTTCATCACTCATTCTAAGTTCATGCCTATCTAATTCGACACTATAGATAGCACATACAATTAATCACTACGGATTCATATCACTTGATCATATCAATAACTCAAGTATTCCTTACTTCACATTTAACCACTTTGCCTATCCACATAGGTATCCATATATCCCTTTTAAGATCTTATGGAATCACACATTTATCAACATTTGCCTATATCACACTAATCCTTTATATCAATTCAATAATTAATATATTTCAAGGATTTCTTCTCTCATGCATAATATCTTTGCTTATTCATCTTTGTAATATCATGTATCAATCTATATGACCACGTAACAACACATTTATTCACATTGAAGTATATCATTTAATCCCATCAAAATCATAATTTGATTACTTAGGTAATCTCATGCTCAACTCACGAGTTATAGACAATATAGTCAGCCATCCTCACCTTATATATGTCCAGGAAGGTTGCCTATTGAAGCCCCGTCGTTAAACCTTCGATCGGGAATGACCTGAGATGACCTTGGCTGGCAGAGGGAAAAAGCCGCCCGGCTTTTGCAAAAGCTGCCCGGCTTTTGGGTTCTGCTGCACGAAAACAGCACCTAGAAGTGGCGGTTTCCGGCGATTTCGATTCCTATCGATTCCACAACTCTTCTAAGTTAATTCCCAACACTTTATATCATATTTATACACTTTTAAACGTGTAGAACATGCTCATTGATCCCACATATGATTTCTTAAAAATCATATTCACAAAACGAAATAAATAACTAGTTTGAGCGGGATTAGCATTCGGTTACCTAGAATCGAGCTTTCTTCTTCCCGGAATCCCCCTCTTTCTTCCTCCTTGCTCAAGGAACGTGTGAAGCTTTATGATGAGCTCCCTCCTCTCTCTATTCTCACGCACAAAGCTATCCAAATGGGAGGAGGAGAGTCTTCCCACCCCTTATCCTTTCTATTATTAGAAAGTTGGGCTAAGTGGGTTGGGTTGTACTCATGGGCTGCCCCTTTCTATTAAATCGGGTCCGAAGCTATTTACAAATTAATCCTCCCGTTGATTATGGTCTACACTTTATACGGAATACCCCGAATTAAAGTGTAGGAAGCTCTTCACCCTCATACTCGCTATTTTCGGTAAGTTGGGGAAAAAATGCCACTTTGGTTACTTGATATATCTCGGTTGGGCCTAAATGACTTTTATTCATTTATTTATATCATTTTAGGCTAGTAGACCATAGTAGGTCGATCCTAAAATGTATTGGATGGTCCTCCCCAATATTCGGGCTCTTACCCAATTATATTTCTATTATTAATAAGTAGACTCAAATAGTCTCCCGTCTTATTTCTTTACCTTTTATTCGGCCCAAACAATTATATTTCACATACTTCTTTATCCTTGGACTTTTTGTTCAATTTACCGAGGTCCAAGAATATGTATTAGTTAGTCCCTCCCCATGTTTGGGGTCCGACTCACAATTTATTTAATCGGTATCAATTTAATCAATTAATCATTTCTAGTATGATCGATATACTTGTAACAAATTTTCAAAGTGGATATATATCCATGACTTTAACTAGTCATCCTTATCGAAATTTGTAATTGCACTTTCCCTTAGATTTTATTATCAATGGATTAATAAATCCAAGTTTAAATTGGGAGCGGTGTCACACATAAATCACAGAATATCACAGAATAAACACTATTTTATTATGTAGGATACTAAAAAATTCAATTAATAATCAAATTATATAATAAATAAAGCATTCTCCAATTATCGACTTATGTTCGCTAGACTCCCTCTGCTCTGGCCTGTATAACCGTATAAAACATTGACACATTCACAAATCAGTGAAATTACAATCTAACACCAAATCAATTAAAACAATAAATTAAAAATCTAAAAAAGAAATTGTTTTTTGAGTTTACCTGGAATCTTGGAGCCTGAAGGGAGGCAGACGCGCAGTCGCCGCGCAGAGGCGGACTGCCGGAGTTGGCAGACGACGTCGGCGGCGCGGCTGGAGACTGGAGTCGTTCACTTCTTCCGCGTCGCAGATCCAAGCTCTGTCTGCAGTCTGCTCCGGTGCTCCCTCAACGTTCTTTCTTCTTCGTCGCTAATGCCTATTAGTCTTACGCGAAGCTCCAATTTCTTAAGGCTTAAGCGCAAGTCTGAGAAGCTGGGCAGTGGGCTGGGCTGGGAAATTATTCTGGGATGGGCTAAGAATTTAATATATACCTATACTAACTATTTTTATTTTTTTTGGGCTGGGCTGAAGCCCACCCCTGCCCTAACTACCAT